CAAATACCCCAACCCTCACAGATGATAAAATTGCATAGCACTTAACACACGAACACACACACACACACACACACATGTACAAATGAAACTGAAGAAATCTGAAATCAGTGCATTGTGTCAGTGTCAATATCCATCTGTGATTTTATATATAATTTTCCAAAATATTACCAGTGGGGGAAACGGGGCATGTATACAAGTGATCTCTGTATTGCATCTTAAAACTGAATGTAAATATCCAATTAGCTCAATTAAAAAGTCAATACTTAAAAGGGCAAGAGGTGGATATAGAATGAGGAGAGAGGAAGGAAGGGAGAAGGAGAGGGGGATGAGAGAGGAAATCAACTTTCTGGAAACAAAATTTCATTAACCATCAAAATTTTGCAAGTTTAAAATATAGGATAATAATTTATTTTAAAAATCATAGCCACTCCATCCTTCCAATGTTTCAATAGAGCCTGACAAAGAATGTTAAAGTTTTGAATTTTTGCATTTTGAGAAGATCACACACCACCAACATGCTAATATGACGAATGTGATACTAACATGTATGACATAGTCAGGGATAGAATACAATGTGTAATACCTGCAATAAGATCCTGTGTTCAAAGTCTTCCCTCAACCTACATTATAAAAAGTGTGGTGTTTGCTGTGTTTTGCTTTTAATTATCCTAAAAAAAGGTGTCATTTTGACAAAACAAAATTTCACCAACAAGGAGTAAAAGGGAACTTGCATAATCTCATGAAGGCGCTCCCCAAAACCCCACAGTAAGCATCATGCTTACGTGGTGAGATGAACAGGGATGAAGTCTGTTATGTTCTTCCTAGTAAAGTGGAGAACGAGGCAAGGGTGCCCACCTCACTGCTTGTATTCAGTGCTGCCTTGGGACCCAGCCAGGCCCATCAAAGTTTATTTTGTATTCCCTTCCTGTACGCGCGGCTCATGGGAAGCAGCCAATAAAAGTAAGCTATTATTACTAAATACTTTAGTTCATTTAATACACTTGAGTAAACTTTTAATTAAGCATAGTTAGAAGAACTGAAAAGAAACAAATGTGTCCTTACTCACAGGCCAAGTGATTGTTTAGAAAATGCGTGGTAAATTGGGAAACTAACCAGAGAGTCCATGGAAGTTTCTGGATGTAGGATCCAGAGCAGGGGCTGAAGAGCCCACGATGGGTGTCCTGACTTAAGTTCTAAGTAAGCAGATGAGTACAAATTAGAGAAGCAGAAAGACCAAGAAAAGAGCTGAGCCCTAGAATGAAGACCACTAAGTCTTGCTGGTCTTGTTTAGCATCTCCTGCACATTTGACCAGGAATTGCCTGTGAGTCCCAGCCACACTGGCTCCTGGTTCTTGGGCGCCCGGGTCTCCCTCTCCCACTGTGGTCACCATAGCCACCTGTCTATGCTCACCTGACAAACTTCTGCAACTGGCATTCAAAGAGCCTGAGGAACACAGGCATGGATGTGACAGACAGACCACCTTCAGCACTGCAATAAGCAATTACAATGAGCTCCAATTTCTACTTAAAATTACCATTTTCTGTATTTATAAAATCAACTAGAGGCCCGGTGCACGAATTCATGCACCAGTGAGGTCCCTCAGGGTGGCCTGCAAGGATTGGGCTGAAACCCGCAGTCCAATGCCACCTGCAGCTCCTACCTGCCGCTCCCACTCATCCTGGCCCCACTGCACCTTCCACGGGCTTGCGCCAAATCAGTCCCGACGGGAGAGGCTTGAGCTGCAGCAGCAGCAGCAGCAGCAGCAGCAGCCACAGCAGTGCTCACCAGCCGTGAGCCCTTTGTCTGGCGCCCTCCCGAGGGGAGTGGCCTGTGGGATTGAGACGAAACCAGCTCTCTGACATCCCCTAAGGGGTCCCAGATTGTGAGAAGGCACAGGGCAGGCTGAGAGACCCCACCAGTGCATGATCAGGACCAGGGAGGGCTCCAGGACAAGTCCAGCCCATCTCGCTCAATCCCGATCAGCCAGACCCCAGCAGCAAGCTAACCTACCAGTTGGAGCATCTGCCCCCTGGTGGTCAGTGAACGTCATAGCAAGCGGTTGAGCAGCCTTAGCATATCATTAGCATATTATGCTGTGATTGGTTGAACAGTTGACCAGTCACCAGATGATCCTCGGGAGGGCTCCAGGGCAAGTCCAGCCCATCTCGCTCAATCCCGATCAGCCAGACCCCAGCAGCAAGCTAACCTACCAGTTGGAGCATCTGCCCCCTGGTGGTCAGTGAACGTCATAGCAAGCGGTTGAGCAGCCTTAGCATATCATTAGCATATTATGCTGTGATTGGTTGAACAGTTGACCAGTCACCAGATGATCAGACACCTAGCATATTAGGCTTTTATTATATAGGGTTTTAGATGATCCCACCATGAGAGAGAAGCAGTACTATAATCTACAACTACCAATAATCTCTAATGCACTTGGTTTGGAATGTATTATGGATCTTTGTAGTAGGAATACCTTCCCAATGAAAAGTTTTCTTGCACTACACTTAAAATAAGACTTAATAGTCTGAATAGAAGAAAGATTGGTAACAAAAAAGAATGATCCAGTAATGTGTTGGAATGCCACTTTTTGCCCAATGAGTATCATTAAGTTGGACGGCCTATACTGAAATACTTGAACTTCAACAACCTCAGGAAGGATGCCAGATAAAAAGGACACCATTGTTGAGCTCTGAAGCCATGGATTAATATAACCCTGGTAAAGTAAAATAACACGGTGGCAGGTGTGAAAGACTTGGATGTCTTCCATTTGGCCCAGGCCACCGTAGACAGCCCATGAAAGGAAGCTCAGCGCCCTCTCTGTTCTTTCATATTCTTGGGGCAAAGGCTTTGGTGATGACACTGCCATGGCTTTCCTTACACTTGGGCTCTATTCCACTGGGCCTGTTTCTGTCATAATTCCGAACGCACTGTCCAGTGTAGCAGCCACCAGTCATGCATGTTTCCTGAGCCCTTGACCTGCAGGTATGTGGTAAGGGCAAGATACACACTGGATTTCAAAGACTTCATACGATAAAAAGAATAAACAATCTCCTTCATAATTTTTACATTGGTTAATGTTGAAATAATCTTTTTTATGAGCCAAGTAAAATGTCTTATTAAAATTAATTTCACCTGCTTATTGTCATTCTTTTAAATGTGGCTACTAGCAACCGGTTTGGCTCAGTGAATAAATGTGGCTACTAGAAACTTTTAAATTACATATGTGGCTCTCTGGCAGCTCACGTTGCATAATCACTGGGCAGTGCTGATTTAAAGAGACAAACGGTATTCTAAATGATGTATGTATAATATGCAACATCTTAGACAAGCATGTCATTTAAATGAACGAGGCATGCAGCCTGCCAGCAGCGAGCTTGACATGCTTGGACAACATTACTCAATATGATTATAAGCCCTTTGTGTGTCGTTGGATGGAAAATTCCTATGGAGGCAGGTATAATATTATAACAATAGTATAAAAGAGGCCTCATTTATTGAGCTCCAGCTTTTGACAGGGATACTGCTAAGTGCTTCAGATAGATTATCTGTAATCCTCCCAACAGGGAGAAATAATTTGGACCAGAGAGACTAAGTCATTTGGCCCAGCTCACACAGCGAGGGAGTGCTAGAGCCAGGCTCTGAATGGAGGTCTGTCTAAGGCCAAGGCCTGTACCCCATGGTTCTTCAAGGAAAGAAACTTGGATCCTGTTTGGAAGTGACCTTCTCTTTTGAAGTGGTTGCTATCCACCTTGGGCAGGGACTACCCACACCATCCATCGGTCATTACGAAGCTGCTCCCCTGAGACCAGACTGGTGATTGCCAGAGGGAAGGGGATGGGGGACTGGGTAAAAGAGGTGAAGAAATTGAGAAGTACAAATTGGTAGTTACGGAATAGTCGCAGGGAGTACGATGCTAAGTGAGATAAGCCAGGCAGAGAAAGACAAATACCATATGATTTCACTTACGTGTGGAATCTAATGAACAAATAAACAAACAAAATAGAAGCAGACTCATAGATACAGAATAATCAGGGGTGTAAAGTACCCCATAGGGAATACAGTCAATAATACTGTGATAACTCTGTATGGTGCTGGGTGGATACTGAAAATATCAGTTTGTAAAGTATACGATTACCTAATCACTATGCTGTACACTGGAAACCAATACAAAACAATACTCAAAGTAACCTGTCATTGAAAATTTAAGCAAATTTTTTAAAAATTAAGAAGGTGCTCTATTCTGCTCTGGACTCGGGGAGTGGATGGTTTTGAAAGGCAGCACGTCTACCCAACCCGCCCGGGGCCCGCTGCTCACCCTGCTCTGCACAGGAACGGCTCCGGGATGTGCGGGGCACCCAGCAAAGCCTGCCCGCGACAGCAACACATGGCGCCACGTGAGGTGGCACCAACGAGACGAGTGCCCCTGTGTATCCCATAGTCTGGCCTGACCTGACTCCCGTCCACTCTTGGAAAACGCCGCAGTCACAACAGCACTAATTGATGGGCAGCTCTGAGATACGGGGGCGGGGGGAACAGCCTGCAGCCAAGGGGCCATGACACGGCCACAGAGAGAAGAGGCTTGTCAGAAAGCCGAGACCGACTGCCAACAGACAGTCTCTCAACCCCGAAATACCTCCTGCCTCCGAGCTTGGGGAACATCAGGCACGCAAGCTCCGGCACCCTTCGTCCCCCTTCTCCCCAGCACGCTCCTCGCCGACCAAGTGATGGACGTCTACAGACATCTGCTCGGCCCACGACAAGCAGTTTGCTCCCTGTAGCAGTTGGAAAGCGTAAGTGCAGGGTGGGGGTGTTGGGAAGGTGCAGGGGTGGGGGGAGCTGGCCAGAAAAAAAAACACACGCAGAGAAAGCACAGTGACATTCAGACATGAGCCTGGGAATCTCCGAATGGCTCAGACGGGACACTGTGTCACCTCTGATTTAAGCAGGGGACTGTTTTCAGAATGCTGGCGGCCTCGGCTCGCCATCAGGCACTTACGTAATCCTCCTCATTGAGCCCTTGTTTCTCCACAGAACTCTTCACCTCCATGGAAAACTTCTCAAACTCGGGTTTCACTGTCCTCAGCAGCGTGACTGTTTGGAGGGATGAGTACGCCTGCTTCGCTTCAAAGTCGTGTTTGTCTCCTCTCTTCCACGAGCCATCTCCTACGGGAGAAATGAAAATATTTATCATTCCAAGCCAGTCACCATAAAGGGCCCTTTCTCCCTTCCCAACTGCCATGTGTCTCGACAGGTTACTAGGGGCAGCCGGGGCGAGAGGTATTGTCATGGTCTTGCACTTGGATACCATGTGACAATGAGCATCACGATCCTCAAAGAAGAAGGCCCTCTGGACGCGTGTCCCTTTGAAATGTGAGAGAAATAAAAGCTCTGTGGCCTCAACTACTTATAGTCAACATGAAATTGTACTTCCAGTCCCCAAGAACTGCAGGATGAGTGGTGTAGGAAGTAAGTTTCGCCCAGCTGGCGTGGCTCAGTGGTTGAGGATTGACCTAGGAACCAGGAGGCCACGGTTCAATTCCCAGTCAGGGCACATGCCTGGGTTGCAGGCTCGATCCCCAGTGTGGGGTGTGCAGGAGGCAGCCGATCCATGATTCTCTCTCATCATTGATGTTTCTCTCTCTCTCTCCCTCTCCCTTCCTCTTTGAAATCAATAAAAACACATTTTTTAAGAGAAGTTTCACTCTTTCTCATTCACACTCAGCTGTTAATCCCCACCATCACCTGGGGAGGTCAGCCAAGCTGTTGCTTTGGTGCCATCGGCCTGACATTGGGCGGAGGGGGTGGCAGGAATGGCTATGTGACGACGGGTGTGCAAAGGGTGATAGAGGTGGCACTGCTAAGGCGGACAAGTTTCAGATTATCAATAGTTCTTGAAGCATTTTGGAACCTCTTCAGAGTGAGAAGTCCTTTAGGTGAGTGTGAGGGTTTAGCACTGGCAACATCGTCACATTATTTACGGGACGGTGTTCACCGGTGCATCCGTGAAATGAAAACTGCTCCCATGCACTGAGCAGAGAGATAATAATCATCTCTCATTATCGAGCACTTTATAGTGAGAAACTCACTTCATCCTCCCAGGACCCAGGGATGTGGGTACAATGATCGTCTCGATTTCACAGAGAGGAAACTGAGGCACGAGAAGCTGGGTGCCCCGCTGCCTCCCAGCTCTCCCTTCACAAGAGCAAAGGCAAATGACGTGGGTGAAAACCAGCGACTTTCTATTATTTCGTTTTTTTAGAAAATACATGGCCTTCAGCGCCCCAGAAGGAAATGTGACCGTCCAGGGTTGGACAATAAGCTGATGCTTCCATGAATTGTCGTTGTGATCCCTGGAGACCTGGGAACACAGCAGGGAAGTCAGGCCCTGGAGTCCGACTCCAAAGTCATGTGTTCGCGCTGAGCCCAGGCCCCTGGCAGAGGCCTGCAGCCCAGCGGCCGAGCCCTGAGGATGGTGCCGGAGTGTGAGGCCAGGGCTCCGAGGCCCTCCCCACTCTTACAGAAAAGGAGCTGGTGGCCTTGGGATTTCCATCACGGCTGAAGCCGGACAACAGGGGGTCACTGAGCCTTGGTCAGAGGTTCGTGGGAGCCACCCCCGTGGACTTCGTAAGTGTCTTAAACAGTCTCCACCCCCCTCGAGAGAAGGAGTAGAGACAGACGGGTGACAGCTGAGTTATTACAGGTGGCAGCTCCCTGGGGAGAAAGAGGGGGTACGGTGCAGGGTGTAGAGGAAGAGGCAGCCAGCTCCAAGGAAGGATTTTAACAGGCGGCGAGGAGGACGGGGAGGCTCGCCAGGCAGAGCAGGAGGCACAGGCTAAGGTGCAAATTTGGCGGCAGCAGCAGCTGTTCAACAATAAAACAGAGCCACGGGCAAAATTCATTAAGGGCTGGATCTGTGCTCAGTGAGCAAAGCCTAAATGTCAAGCCACCCAACAGAACCTGACAAAGTCCTCCTCCTCCCACATGAAGCCTCCCCAACACGGAGGAGGCCTCGGCGTGAGGAGCAGCCGCGATGCCTGCGCTCAGGGAGCTGCGGGTCTGCCGGGTCAGGACGGCCCCAGAGTGTGGAGATGCCCAGAACCTCTGCCCGCCGTGGAGGAAGCCAATCCTCAGAGGCCTGCGATCAATGCTTATTGATTCGTTTCTCATTGATTTGCGGTGCCAAGACGCAGCAGGAGTGGTGTGTCTGAGGCAAAGAGGGTGGAGTTTCTCAGCTGGGGGAGGGGAGGGGAAGGGAGGTCTCTCTCCTGGGAACACTTCACCCTGCCGGCGCCGGCGCCGGGCTGTGCAACCAGAACGAGCACACGGTGCCGGAAACAGCCGCCCTCTGTTACTACCATAGGGAAAACCTTTTTATTTTGAAAGAAATGAAATCCAGTCCAATAAATTTGTCTGCCATCATCTAAACATAAGCCCGGCCGCGTGGCTCAGTGGGTTGAGCGTCAACCTAGGAGCCAGGAGGTCACGGTTCGATTCCCGGTCAGGGCACAGGCCCGGGTTGCAGGCTTGATCCCCAGTACGAGGCGTGCAGGAGGCAGCCGATCCATGATTCTCTCTCATCACTGATGTTTCTGTCTCTCTCTCTCTCCCTTCATCTCGGAAATCAATAAAAACATATTAAAAAATAAAAGATAATGACTTTGAAGTTTTGTTTTCTGAAAATAAAAGAATGGAAACAATAGTGCTTAATAAGTTTAAGCCAAAATAAATAGGTGTCCAGTCGCAAACATAACTGATCCTAGGACTTCCTGCTGTTGTGGGTTTCTCAGTGTGTTGTGTCAGTAATGCCTCCCACATGGGGCCGCTGGGCACGAGGGAAGCAGAGGTCGGCTTGGCGCTTGGCGTGTGGGACACATTTAATTCCACAGACAACTGGGTGCCTCTGGAGATTTATGAGTGGAACGGAGATGCACGATCAGAACCAGGCCTGGGAAATCGCGATGGATTAGGGTGGGGGGCACGGAGGGTTCCCAGCCACAGGCATCCAGGCAAGAGGTTCCATGTGGGGAGTCAGACCCCCAAAATTAACCCCGGTTCTCTGGGTGGTGAGAATCATGGGCGAGTTTTTCTCTTTCTTCCCTTTTCTTTCCCTTTCTTTTGTCTGGGGTGTGTTTTTCTGAATCTAGGAAATGTTCCCTCATAATTAGTTAGTTCTCTTTTAATCATAAAAACAGGGAGGGCCTGGGAATGCAAGCAGAGGACGGTGCAAGAGGAATCTCAAGACTCCGCAGAGCGAGGGAGTGAGGGACAACAGCGAGAGGAGAGGCGTCAGCGGTGATGCAGGGGGGGAAGAGGGGGGTGTCATTAGAGGAAAGAGCAGAGTCAGATGGAGGAGGCGGATTCGGACATCATAAGGGTGTCAGTTAGGGTCACGGTCCACCCAAGGTGACGGCCTGCAGAATGCCCGGTGACGGCACCAGGCCGGGTGGGGAACAGCAGTCTGAACAGAAAGAGGGGTGAAGGCTCGAGGAATGTGGGTGTCATTTCTACAGCCTGAGGGTCAGAACCAGGGGCTGACTCCACTGGGTGAGAGAGTGCGGGGGAGCGGGGAGGAGGGCTGGCACCAGCACTTGGGGAGGCTGTTTTTGGGGGGCAGAAGGAGGAGGAGGGGGAGACAGGAGCTCACAGAGAACCAGAAGTAGCCGGTGCCACCAACACTCGGGAAAACAGGGCTTCCAGGAAGAAATGGCTGGAAACGTCACTGACTGCGCTGAGCTGACCCATCTAGCCCAGGAGTCACTAGCCACACGGGTGACTAGTTCAACGTAAATTAATTAAAATTAAATAAAATTTAAAACTTTGTTTTTCCATTGCACCTGCTACATTTACGCAGAAAGGAACACATCCAGTGCCCTCCGAGTTCTCAGAAGACGGGAAAGTTCCGAACAGTCCCAGCGGGATTGCCCCAATAGCCTTCCACCCAACTCACTGCAAAGAAGACGCCGCCATGGTACTAACAAAAACTCAAGGGGACAACGTACGTCATCTTCTCTCTAGATCAGGGGTCCTCAAACTACGGCCCAAGGGCCACATGCAAATACAAATATTGTATTTGTTCCCGTTTTGTTTTTTTACTTCAAAATAAGATATGTGCAGTGTGCATAGGAATTTGTTCATAGTTTTTTTTTAAACTATAGTCCGGCCCTCCAACGGTCTGAGGGACAGTGAACTGGCCCCCTGTTTAAAAAGTTTGAGGACCCCTGCTCTAGATTTTGTAAATCTATCCTTTCAGTCTTATGTTCCATCATTCCAATTCCCCCATAATATATGCTGAGCTCCTGTAGTAATATAATTCAGGCAGACATGAGAGTATCTTTGAGAGCTCATCAGGATCAAACAACCTAGTAATCAGTCAATATGAACACACTGTCAAAATGTTTTAAAAAAATCCAATATCAAGGCAAGGGCTGGGGGGGGTGGTAAGAGATCAATCAAAGAACTTGTATGCACGCATATAAGCATAACCAATGGATACAGACAGTAGGGGGTGAGGGCATGTGCTGGGGGGCGAGAGCAGGTGGGGAGAGGTCAATGGGGAAAAGGAGACATGCAATACTTGCAACAATAAAGAATTCAAATTTTTAAAAAAGAAAGAAAAAATCCAATATCAATTAAATACTAATTGAAATAGAACCTTTCTCTAGAATGGGCATTAGAGTTCAGTGTGAGGGCACACGGGGGAGAAGGGCGCTGCAGAACTCTGTATGAACATGCAGCTGACTCTTAGGGCACCACGTTTCGGAGAAGGCCCTTTACTGACGATGGGCACCAGGGCCCAGGGCCCTGCTCAGGGCCACTCTGCCGGCCACAGGCTCTGTTCACGGCCTCTGCTCTGAGGAGGAAAGGTGCTTCGGGGTCTCGGACAAACATGGACAGGGGCCTCTCTATCTACAGCCATTGTTCCTGCATTGATCAGGGGTTGCGGTGAGTTCAGCTAAAAGTACACATTTCCTGACCCCGCTCACAAGGAGATGACAAAGATGTAGGAAAACAGACCATCTCATACACTGTGGCAAAGTGTAAATTGGTAAACTCTCTAGAGCAGTGATGGCGAACCTATGACACGCGTGTCAGAGGTGACACGCAAACTCATTTTTTTGTTGTTGATTTTTCTCTGTTAAGTGGCATTTAAATATATAAAATAAATATCAAAAATATAAGTATTTGTTTTACTATGGTTGCAAATATCAAAAAATTTATATATGTGACACGGCACCAGAGTTAAGTTAGGGTTTTTCAAAATGCTGACACGCCAAGCTCAAAAGGTTCACCATCACTGCTCTAGAGGATAACTTGGCAATATCTATCAAAACTTAAATGCATATAACCTTTGACCCAGAAATTCTTCTAGAAATTTATCTTACAGAACAAATGTGTGTGTGTGTGTGTGTGTGTGTGTGTGTGTATGGACATACAGGCATGCACACTCAATTAGCCTCATTCTGGGAGCAACACAAATATTTAAAAATAGGAGACAGAAAAAGTAAAGATGACATGTCGACATTATAAAATACTGTGCAAATAATTCATTAAATTGTATATATTTGTTTTATATTTTCAATGCATTCTTAATCTTTAATAAAGAAATAGAAACAATAAATAAATAAATAAATAAATAAATAAATAAATAAATAAAATTCTGTGTACCCATACTATAGCGATCATTTTATTAGAAATATTTTTGTAAAGCCCTGACTGGTTTGGCTCAATGGATAGAGTGTCAGCCTGTGGACTGAAGGGTCCTGAGTTTGATTCTTGTCCATGGTACATGCCCGGGTTGCAGGCTCGATCCCCAGTGGGGGGGCATGCAGGAGGCAGCCAATTATTGCTTCTCCCTCATCATTGATGTTTCTATCTCTCTCTCCCTCTCTGAAATCAATACAAATATTTTTTTAAAGAAAGAAATTAAATGCTTTCCATCACCTATGTTGATGGCTCCTGAGCTTCTACATGGGAGCTTAACTAATAAGTCATAAGTAATCTGAAATGAAGGGGGGCTGGGAGCAGAGACTTTCAAAATGTTGCACTTCAGTTTACAATAATGATTGTTTTCTTTCTTTCACATTGTGGCCCATTACAAACATATGAGTAACATGCATAAATATATACACATGAACGTATCCTATATAATAAGAGCCTAATATGCAAATCAACTGAAAGGCAGAACCACAGGTTGGCGGGGGGCAGGGCCGGCGAGTGAGCAGCACCAGGCCAGCCAAGGTAGGGAGCGGGCCTAAGCCATCAGTCGGACATCCCCTGAGGGCTCCCAGACTGCGAGAGGGCACAGGCCAGGCTGAGGGACCCCCCTGAGTGCATGAATTTTCATGCACCGGGCCTCTAGTTACTAACATAAAGGTTTTATGAAACAATACATATGCTACGTGTGACCCACTTTGACGTATCCTATTCCATTATTACATTGATTTCTAGTACCGTGGTCAGCAAATGGCGGCTCGTGAGCCACATGCGGCTATTTAGCCCCTTCAGTGTGGCTCTTCCACAAAATACCACGTGCAGGCGCACACGTACAGTGCGATTGAAACTTCGTGGCCCATGCGCAGAAATCGGTATTTTGTGGAAGAGCCGGTATTTTGTGGAAGAGCCACACTGAAGGGGCCAAAGAGCCACATGTGGCTCGCGAGCCGCGGTTTGCCGAGCCGCAGTTTGCTGACCACTGTTCTAGTCTATTCCATCCTATTAAAAATTATCCCAGCAGACAATCCGGAGGCAACCTGCAGTTGGAAGTGCACGAGGCAGGGGTCTGTAGGGCCTGGATTTAAGACCATCCGGAGACAGATGCCCTGGCATCGGGTTATGTGGGATCTTCCTTGCTGAGTTCTCAGAGAAGCAAAGCTTGAGAACTTAGAAGTCACAACCGTGTTCAGGATTCCAAATTTCTAAACTCCGAGCTATGAAAATGAAATCTGTTGACGTAACTCACATTATTGGCTCTTTCCTGCCCCTTCCTGACACCCCAGCCGGCGAGGGAAAGGGACCGAGTTACCGTAGGAAGAGCTGTTGAAGAGCTCGATGTTGAAGAAGGCGTAGTCCCCGCTGGTCATCCCGTGTCTGTGCGCCGCCAGCATGATGCCCCGGATGGTGTCGCTGCTCGCACACATGATCACCACTGGGAGGGAGGAACAACAACACGTGTGAGACGCCCTGTCAGGACACAGCGAGGACGCTGAGACCAGCGGGGGACGGCCGGCAAGGCGCGGGGTACTCACATCCCCTCCAGTGTCCTCACGAATACATATGGGTTACAAAGGGGAAGAGTATTAACGTGACAGTGGAGAAATGCAGAGGATGCCACCATAGCCAAGGATGGAAGCCAATGTCACCAACCCTAGGAAGAGACTCCTGAGCCTCCGGATGCAGCCCACCCAGGACCAAAGCCGACAAAGTGGGTGACCTGAACCTAACGGGGGGAGCAGCCAGTGTGGGGACAGTCTGTAGGAGAGTTGGCCTGTGCGTCTTGAAATGGTCAAGTTCGTGACCAACAAAGACAGGCTAGGGGAATGTCCTAGACCAGTGGTTCTCAATCTTCTGGCCCTTTAAATACAGTTCCTCATGTTGTGACCCAACCATAAAATTATTTCCGTTGCTACTTCATAACTGTCATGTTGCTACTGTTATGAATCGGAATGTAAATATCTGATATGCAGGATGGTCTTAGGCGACCCCTGTGAAAAGGGCGTTTGACCGCCAAAGGAGTCGTGACCCACAGGTTGAGAACCGCTGTCCTAGACGAAAAGACACAGAAGAACAGAAAGCTCAGTGCAATGTGTGCCCCTCGAGTGGACCCTGGCCCTTTAAAAAATAATAATAAAAGTTTTGCTATAAAGGGTATTATTGAGACAACTGGAGAAACCTGAATAAGGTCTGAAAACCAGGTAACAGTATTGCATTTGTTATTTCACAGTTCTGCTGTGGATGTGTAAGTGAATGTCCTTTTTCTGAGGAAACACACCTAAGTATTTAGGAGTCAAAGAGCATGATGGCTGTACTTACTCTCAAATAGTTCCTTACAAGATAGTAATGTGTCCGTGTGGTGTACATGTGTACATATTTGGAGGGAGAGGGGAGAGAGGGAAGGAGGGGAGGGGAGGGATCGCCAGATTTGCCCAATAGAAGACAGCGAGGAGTGCCAAGTGCTTTTTATACTTAATCGCACGGTAAATACCTTTTCCCGAAAAAGCAAACTTAATGGTTCTAGGGAGGCCCTTCATGTGGCAAATCAGAGGACGAGGGAGGGGCCCGGGCTTTCTGCTGCCTTGATTCGGAAACACTCCTCCCAAGCTGTGCAGCATCAGAGGGACAGGCACAGAGCCCAGGCCCTCCTGCTGCTCTCTCCGCTCAGAGCCACACTGTCAGACACGAGGGGCGTTGAGCAGCTCCAGAATATTGCTGCCTGCTCATAAGAGCATCCACAGCCTGGAGCGAAGCGGGGACCCGGCCATTACCCAGGAAACTTGATCACTGTCGCTGTCCCTCATCCCCATGACGGGGACCCCTGTGCCTGGTGCACACAGAGGAGGGGAGCGACCTGGAGAGGCTGGGTGCCATCCCGCGCGATGGCTCTCAGAGCTGTGTCTGCTCTTTGTGAAAGCACGGGCGCTGGAAGATGTCAAACTAACTCCAGGCCGAGCCACAGCTGCCTTGGCAACGCGAGGGTCAGGGCTTGTTGGTATTCCGTGTGCTGCGACCTGCACTGGGAGTGTCGGATCCCGGCTCTGACGTTCCTTATGCAAAGGGGCTCCGTGTACAGGCCAAAGGCTCCAGAGCACTTGTTTCTAAACAATACAGAACTCGAAAGAGCTACCACTGTACGCGTAGGTGCTGTGTGTGCCCATGAAAATACACGTTTAGGAAACATAATCAAATTCCCAGATGCCTCTGTAAGGGAGTTTTTGAAGAAACACCTCGTTACTCATTATGATTTAGAACTTTGTTTCAGCAATGATTAATTCTAGTCCCTGAAATCAAAAAAGAGTGACGGTGTCCCACAAAACAGCCAATAAGGGGCTGAAGCTGGACACGTTTGAAGAGCGTGGGCTCCAAGAGGGGGCGTCTCCGGGAGGGTCCGGTAGACTCGGGCCAGCGGCCTGCCCGCAGCCCTCATCACTTTTTGTTAATTCCTCATAGTCCGAAGTCTGCCTCTCCCTCCCGGATGCAGCACCTCCTTCTGCCAGCACATCACTAGGTGACAGAGTCCTCATCACCTGACTCAGCCATTTTCAGATGAGCTGAAAGGCAGACGACTGAAGTTCAACGAGGACCAAAGCGCATGAACATGTCTGCGTCGCCAGGTACCAGGCACGCTGACTGGGGTGATGGTGAGGATGAACTCAGAAGCAGGTCACTCCGTTGGATGACTCAGGCAAGGAAGGCATCGGGGCTTGATGACTCTATGTGTCTAAGAGACATCTCCCCGGCCCAGGACTAAGCAGGCTGGGTCCTCGGGCCAGAGCAGAAGCTTCCCTGAGTCCTGGCTGGGGTCCGCCCGGCACTGGCCTCTGTCACTTCTCTTTCTATTTTTACAGTCCTGGCCCATCTGCTGCTCTCTGTCCCCCTCATCATCAAGGCCCATTCCTTCTGGCAGACACATTCTCTCTTTAAATGTCAGTGCCTCCTTGGACCGAGCAAGAGTGACCTCAGTGGCATTGTGTGTATCTGAGCAGACTTGGATTATTTGTGTGTTGACCATGTGGCTTAACTCTCAAAGGGAACCCTTAGCTTCCAAGTTCAGGGCAGGGTATTGTTTTTCTTGCATAAAAATCATGATTCAGTTTAAGTTGGAGCAAGAGCTTCCAGATGCTGGCAAAGCGGGCAGAGTGGAGAATCCGCCTAGATTGGGAGGATAATCCCTAATCTCGAATGGTTGTTTCATTCCAGCCTAGCTCAACAGCAAGTATTTTTAGAAACCTGCCTTTAGACGGTCTATCAGGAGATTAAAATAGTTTTCATTAAAATAGCATTCTCTTCCTACTCGTGTTTCATCAGTTTACATAACTCATCAAACTACATGCTTAAATGAATAAGCACAACTGGCAGGAACAGATTTGGGGACAGCTCTTGGGAAGTCTCTGGACAAGTGTGAGAGGTCTGCAGGCCCCTGCCAGCGCTCACCAGCAGGCAATAAGGTTTATAGAGAAGAGGCATCAGCTAATCCTCTAAGCTGCTAACGTAGAGGTCAAGTAAGACAGTTTCTGTCCAGCCGTGTGGCTCAGTAGTTAAGCATCCACCCATGAACCAGGTGGTCACGGTTGATTCCTGGTCAGGGCACATGCCTGGGTTGTGGGCTCGACCCCCAGTAGGGGGCGTGCAGAAGGCAGCCGATTGATGGTTCTTTTCATTGATGTCTCTATCTCTCTCTCCCTCTCCCTTCCTCTGAAATCAATAAAAATATTTTAAAAATTTTTTTAATTTAAAAAATGTAGACAGTTTCTATTGTATTTAAGTATGTTTAAATATACAAATACTAATTTAAGGGTCAAATTTTTAAAATTCTAAAAGGGAGGGTGGTGTGACTCTAAGTTTCTGGATACCGTTTCCGTCAATCTGCCCTATTTTCTCCAAGTTGCCACAGAAATTGCAATGTTCCATGTCACCCTCCACTTCCTGATCTCGCCAGTGTCTTCTGTAAGAGACTCCTCGCTCCTGTGCACGCCCGAGAGCACTCTAAGAACGGCAGAGAGAAGCGCGAAGGGATGGCTTCCGGAGACCAGAAACATTCCAGGTAGCAAACCTGAAATGGGGGTACGCGTGCCTTTCCCCAGGCTCCGGTTTATATTTGGAGCGACTTCTAATAAGGTGACACTCAGCTCTCAAACTGCCTTCATTTACCCGCTCTGCCCCCACAGAGTGAATTGTCTGACAGGTGAGTTGAGAAGAAAACCCTGGGCACATTGGACTCAGCCCTTTCTTCCTTCCCCTTTGAGATGTGTCTGCTTTCGGAGAGCACACGGTGTGGCTGACCTTTGTCCTGTGGCCAGCGGCCTGTGCTGGAGGGGGTCTGCAGCTGGACAGCTGATCTGGAACTCAGTGGACAAACCTGCCTAATTCAGGGGGAAAGTAACAAGCGGCCCTTTTGGCAGCAGATCTAAGTCCATGTTCTCAGTAAGTTTTATCGATATTAAAAATCGTATTTTCATACTGTCTATGTGACTCCTGCATCCGTCTGTCATTTAACTCTGTACCTGAAGGGAACGGGGTGCTTCTGCAGGGCAACAAAGCAAGATGTGCATGTGCTGCAAACTGAAAACATGATAGCAGAAATGGAAAACCAATCTCCATGGTCGCTCTGGGAGTCATCAAAAGAATAAGAAAGATTTTTTTAATATGTGTTTACTGATTTCAGAGAGGAAGGGAGAAGGAGATAGTAACGTCAATGATGAAAGAGAATCATTAATTGGCTGCCTCCTGCACGCCCCCTACTGGGAATCATGCCTGCAACCTAGGCATGTGCCCTTGACGGGAATCGAACCAGGGACCCTACAGATAGTAGGCCGACGCTCTACCCACTGAGCCAAACCAGCCAGGGCAAGAAGGATTTTTGTAAAGACAGGTGGTAAATGGGAGAAAAGTAAAGTATCAATCCAGGAGATCTAACATCCAAATAAAACAAGTTCTAGAAAGAGAAAACAGAGAAAATGAAGATGATAAAATTACCGAAGGAATAATTTAAGAAATCTTCCCAGAACTGCCCGGCCGGCGTGGCTCAGTGGTTGAGCATTGGCCCATGAATCAGGAGGTCACAAGTCGATTCCCGGTCAGGGCACATGCCTGGGTTGCTGGCTCAATCCCCAGTAGGGTGCGTGCAGGAGGCAGCTGATCAATGATTCTCTCTCATTGATGTTTCTATCTCTCTCTCCCCCTCTCCCTTCCTCTCTGAAATCAATAAAAATATATTTAATTTTTTTAAGATAGAAATCTTCCCAGAACTAAAAGGCATGAGTTTCTGGATTGAAGAGGCCTACCCTTGAATATCCTCAAGTGCATAAGGCAAAATACTGGCATAAAAATCTATCAAAATGGAATGTAAAAACATTGGGAGCAACAAAAATAGTCCAAAAAATTCCACGACAAAAAGAAAAACACAACATTCTATTGATAAAGAAATGGAATCAATTCTAGTTACCTAATAGCAACACTGGAATCTAAAAGACAATCCTTCAAATTTTGAGGGAAAATAATTTCATATCTAGAATTCTGTAAATACATGTAATGGTAGGATGAAGAAATTTTCAGTCATGAGATGTCTCAAACTTTAGCTCTCATTCATCCTTTCTGAGAAAGCTCCTGGAGGATGTGTTCCACTAAAACAAGAATATGCACCAAGAAAGAACACAGAGGGACCTAATCAGAGAGGGGGGGGGGGGGGTGGGGATGTTGAAGAAAGAACCCGGAGTTACAACTGTGCAGCATGTTTAGAACATAACTAAACTGGAGCAGCTCAGGAGACTTAAAATATAAAATTGGTAGATGATTTAGTAATTCCATAGGAAACTAAGCAGACAAACAAAAATAGACTTTTTTTTAACCCCAAGGAAAACAAGTAGGGCGAGAAAGGAAATGTCATCGTAGTAGCCTGTATGGCTCAGCTACAAATAATTTTTAGAAGGTAATAATAATGTAGACACTAAATACTACTGAGCTAACCAAAAATTATAATGCAATCATCTTGGAGGGGAGACTGGAAGGGAAACTTGAGTGTGTGGCTAATAGGGAGTAGACGAGAACTAAATCAGCATCTTCCACTGGGATGGTAAGAGATTAAAATCTAAAACTGAAAAAATCAAAAGTAACATGGGACTTAGAGGTATGAGGTCAAATACCTACAGAAACAGCTGAAAGCATTGAAAACAGTTGCCTCTGGGCAGTGAGAAATGGGGAGAAGGAGACAGTAGGTCTGGTTTGTACTGATACCTGGAATTTTCTTACTTTGTAAACTATATAGCTGTAACTAATTTATGTAAAAATAACATATGTTTTCAAGAAAAGTGATTTCTCTCTGGCTGATCCTACACTACATAGCAACGGGTTTTATTTGCAAAATAGAGATTGCACCTTTATTTTTGTTGTTCACAAGGCTCCTGCTACTCCCAAGGTTTTCAGCATTTCCCCAGGGCAGCCTACAGTGCTTCTTCCCCGCTGCTGGGTCAGTTATTTCACTTATCATGGGTTCTTTGCTTAAAAATTCTGCTGATCAACCACTTGGTCATTTCCCCCAGCCGAATTCTAAAAATAAATGACTCTCTACTGATTAAACGCAGTTATCTCTACAGTGGTCATGCAGGCCCAGAGTAATGACACATTATTAACTACAGGCCTGGTGCACAAAATTTGTGCATGGGGTGGAGGCTGTCCCTCAGCCCAGCCTGCACCCTCTTGCAATCCAGGTGATTTGCGAAACCCCTCGGGGGGTGTCCGACTGCCGTTTTAGGCCCAATCCCACAGTGGGACCGGGCCTAAACTGGCAGTCAGACATCCCTCTCGCAATCCGGGACCACTGGCTCCTAACTGCTCGCCTGCCTGCCTGCCTGATTACCCCTAACCACTCGCCTGACTGCCTGATCGCTCCTAACCACTCTGCCTGCCTGCCTGATTGCCCCTAACTGCTCGCCTGCCTGCCTGATCACCCCTAACCGCCTCTGTCTTGGCCCCCGCCATGGCGGCTTCATCCGGAAGGACATCTGGAATGACGTCCAGAAGGTTGTTCAGCTGTCCGGTCTAATTAACATATTATACTTTTATTGTATATTAGTTTTTCTTTCTACAGTACAGCATATAGCCAAATGAAATTTTAGTCATATTAGTATTTGAGATGGCAGCATTGTTAGTTTTTACCTTTTAAAAGATTCAAATATTTGTATCTGATTTTGAAGATGAACTTAAGTCCAAAAAAAGTGCTAACATGTGATCTCCAAAGGTGGTGGGGGTGGGGGGGCGGACTCTCTAGCTCTATGATGTTTAATATGGAATTTTCAAAGACAGAAACACAGACCATGGCATCTTCACACTTGAGTGAGCACCCATCAGAGCCACCCACCGGCAGTGTGAGGGCCTGACTCGCGGGCCAGCTCTCCATTTCACAGAAGAGGAAGGGCCGCCTCAGAGCAGGTAAGTGACCGCCCAGGCCAAGCAGCTGCTGAGTGGAGAGGACACAGCAAGTCCAGGGCACCTGCCTCTTACCCCGGGTCCTTCCCCAGGACACGGCTGGCCTTCTAGTGGAAGTGAGGATCATCATGTATACAGACTACCAGCCACTGTAATAACACTTCACGTTCACTGTGCGCCATGCACCTGGCGCTGTGCCAGCACGTTCCTATGTTCGCTCATTCAATCCTCCCAGCATCCCTAAGATGGGGGTGCCCCTACGCTCCCCCCCGACTTTACCTGAGGAACCTGAGGTTTAGTAGTAGCCCAAGCTCCCTCTCCAGTGAAGGCCTGAGCCTGGACAAAGGCTCTGGAAATCAAACCCCACTGAACCCAGTTAACCCATTAACTGCTTATGGCAGAGTAATGGCGATTGGCTAAAGGGAAAAGATCCCCAGAGAGAGCCGTGTCATCAAGCAGCTCTCTCTCCTGGGGGTAGGGAATTTCGGGGAGAGGGGGAGAAATTGTTCTGCATTTCTGACATCTGCCAAGTCACGGTTAGAAATACACTTTAGAGTAGGAATGGTACCCTTTGTCCCCTGTAAAATACACAGGTCAGCCAAGCAAACTCCCACCACTAAATTCAAGTTTAGACAAAAAGGAGCAGAGACTGGCTACATGGGCGAGGCTTTTGTAATGAAAAGCTAATCCGCAGCAACAGGCTGTAGTCCAACCCCTCGGAAGCCCCCAGGCCCACCAGGGCACAGTTGCCCGCCCTGCTGCCTGGGCTCAGCCACCCCTTGTGCGGCGGAGGGGCCCCTGGCTGAGATCTGCCCTAATCTGGAATGACAGGTCCCCTGGGCCGGGAACCCCAGGCCATGTGCTCAGGGACACCCTCCCCCTCTCCCCCCGCCCACTACACTGAGACCTTCAGAGCAGATCTTGAGGGTTGGGGGACACCCCCACCCCAGCTAGCCCTGGGAAATCTCCAACTCCTAGCTCCCCGGCTGAGCCTGGGGTTCCGGAGGCCAGAGCAGCCCCGCATCTGCAGGAGCCCCCAAGAGCCCGCAGGGGCCCGCAGGAGCCTGGAACGCTGGAGGCAAGAAGCAGATGCGGGCTGCTCCGCCGGCCGGGCGTGGCCAGTCCGCAGCCTAGGAGACAAGCACCCTTTTTCATAATCAGCGCAGCCGGCGCACCCCGCCTGGCTGGCTGGCAGGGATTCTGCGCAGACCGCCTGGAGTTTGAAAGCTCAAAACTTGGCCACGCACCCCCACTGTCAACACCCCCCTCCTCCTCGCGCTGGAGCGTGTGCTCCCTACGAGGCTGAGTGGCCAACTTGGGAAGGGCGGTGGCCGCTGCGCTATCCTTCAGGGCCCCTCCACCCACTCTCATCGGCTGCTGACACCTCCCGGCTCCCACGGCCAGCTCCCAGTTGCCCCCAGGTGCCCAGCCGACTGCACAGTCGGGGGCTAGCCCTGCACCTGGTTCAGCCCTGGCCCCCTCGGCCGCTGGGCGTGAGGTCGTGGGGAGCTTTGCTGGGGTTGCACCACTTACAATCCAGGCGCGAGGGGGAGCAGAGGCGGGATCCCTCCAGCTCTGTGCACCCCAAACCTGACACCGGTCGGAGGGAACTGCGTTTGGCTGCCCTCTCTGCCCGCCCTTCCCGGCCGTCTACTGGGCAGTGAAATGGGCCACATGGGCGCGCTCACGATTATGTATCCGCGATCACCCGCTTCCCCTCCCGCTCCCTATAGCCGGACCTTAGTCAACCCCCACCCCCAGACCCGCGGGGAGAACTTGGGAAGCCCATGGAAATGGGGCGTCCGCGCCCGCTTCTCCAGCGCGCGCTATAGCCAGTCGCCCTCCCAGCGCGCAGTTGACAGATGCCGATGCCGCGCAGCCGGGGAGCGGCCGCTGGTGCCGGCGCGGCAGGCGTTTTTGGTGGAAACCACACACGCTCGTTTATCAGAGGCTGGAGGGGCCACGGAAGCACTGAGGGGGGCGGTCAATGAGCCTTTAAGAGAAAGGCGGGGTCTGCGGAGGGAGCCGCTGAGGGGACCCGAGACCCGAGCGGGGAGCGGCTGAAGCGAGTCTGCCCGCGCTCCCGCACCTGGCGGGGCGCACGTCGGGAAAGGGCTGGGCAAGTCCTTCGGGCCTCCGAATGCTTTCCTGTCCCAGCTGGAGCCTGGCACCCGCCCGCAGTGCCCCCCTAATCGCTCGCCAGCTGCAGGCGAAGGGGGAGCGAGGGAGAAAAAGCCCAGGTGGCTCCCCAACCCCTGTCGGGGCTGCGGGCTCGGACGCCCCTCCCCCAGGCCCCGTCCGCGGGGCTTCCTACCTACACCCGAGACAGACGCAGGGTCGTGGCCACCAGACACGCGCCCTCCCCGAGTCCTTCGTGCCGCAGAGAAGCGCACAGAGGTGCAGGGGGAGCCGGGGAGAGCGGCTGGGCTGCCGCGGGGCCCGCGCCCCTCCCGCTCACCTCGCTCACTGGCCTGGATGTAGCGCACGATGTCCTCCAGGTCCAAGTCCTTGGCCTCGTCGAAGCTGTAGGCGGACGTGTGCAGACCCTCCTCCTGGAAGACCTCGTGGACCCCCTCCAGGGTGAAGAAGCAGTTGCGCTCCAGCTTGTCGTCGCTGTAAAGCAGCGCGGCGCGGCTCCACTGGTGGTGGCGGAACAGGGCGAGCATCATCTCGCCCATCTTGGCGTAGGCGGGC